CTTTTTTTTAAAAATGTTTAATTTAAGAGGGGTCTCATGAATGTTTGCTCATTCATATGGTGGTCTATGACTATAATAAAGATTTGATTTGAGCATTCAGATATATATGCCACATTTATTATAAGAAACAACAAACTATTAGAAGTAAATAACATTCAGAGACCTAACTTTCTATTACTTATTTTATACCTCATTCTGCTAACATTTTAATATGTTGTTCAAACCCAGGATGACTGTTAAGCAGCCACTAGTCCTTAGGAAAAGGATGTGGGGGACAGGCATTCCCATAAATTGAAGCTACTGTATTCCTGTAGCAGCATCTCTGCTATTCCACTTCCATTTTTATTTCAGGGTTTACAATATCTTTCTTTTGATAAACTTTTGCCATGCATGGCAGAACAAACCCTGATTAGATCACAATGAGAACTGCTCTTAGCACACATTTTAAGTGCCAGCTGGCCACCCACTACAATTTTATATACATGTCAGTGATGGTTTGCATTAAACCATGCTTAGCATGTTGAGAGACCATGGTCAGTATTTCTGAATAACTTGTGTATGAATATATCAGTCCTGAGCACCAAACTGGGATTAGAATTTCTGGAACTTGTTATTTCTAGTGCCTTGTTCCCATCATCTAGGTAGAAGCTCTAAGATGCATTTTTGTGCAAGTACTTTATGCATGATGCTCATAAAGCAATGAAGGCAGGACCTATACAATATTCACTAGTTTTGAAGCTTCAGCAGGACACTTTCTTATACAGTACTTATGTTTACATGATTATAATGAAATAGCTTTTACTGATATAGTCAGAGAAAACGATCAAATTATACTTTCTGTTGAAAATGGCTAACTAGATTGGAATTCTAGAACAGTATAGCATGAGACTAAAAGAAAGTTAAAATGTATAAAGACAGAATAGTATTATTATTTTTTTTTTGGTCTGGCTACTCTATTCCTATTATTTCAACATTTAGAACAAAACTGCATTCATAGCCTGTAACTGTCTTGAGTTTTTAAAATCAGCCTTGCTGTAAGCAATGGATAAATTATCAATTTTCTCAGAAATAGATCTCACTGATTCCAGTTAATCTTTGGATTGTGGCTAACTGGACAAGGAAGGATGAAATAAAGATGCCTCCCTAAAAATATAACTATGCATAGTGGAATGGTACCTATGACCCAGAGACCTCCATGAAGCTCCAGCAACAGCCTGGAATGAACTGCATCCAAACTATTCTATCCTCCCTGCAAAGAGCCTACGGTTGGATTTCCAACTTATATCAGCCCGTACATTGGGGTAGGTGAGCTGTCAAGGGCTGTAGGCTGCAGTTAAAATTTTGGGGAAGCTCCAGGACTCCAATGAAGACAGTAATGATACAAAGTAGGTGAGCATCACCAAACACAGCTGCAGGCAATGTTGCTAACCACTCCAGCAGCCTTCCCCAATATGCTGTCCACAGTCTACAGCAGTGTTTCTCAACTGTGGCAACTTTAAAATATGCGGACTTCAACTTCCAGAATTCCCTAGCCAGCATGCTGGCTAGGGAATT